GGGGGGGGGGGGGGGGGGGGGTACAAACAAAAAGTTCAAGGTATACATAGTTATAACTTTTCCATCTCAAAAAACTGTCATTATTCATAACCAAATAATCAAAATACAAGTGTTTGATAGAAACATAAACTTTTACTACACAAATTTATAATAAAACATATTTTTAAATATAATTTTTGTAATTACAATAACTGAAGATGTTTGGGGTGTTTATTAGCATATGCATCAACTACTTCTTCAGGTTTTATAATTATTCCATGGTGTAACTTAAGGTGTATTCAGTGTATATTAAATGTTAATCCGTTTAATCGATGGTATCATATTATCATGATATATTGATACTTCAGTATTTCACCGTTCGCCCGTGCGTGAAAAATAAGAGGGCTTACAATAATAAATAAAGTATATAATACGGTGAATGGGGAGGGGCAAGGGTCCTATAGGCCCACCCCTTAAATACGTCCCTGATTATAATCATTATTATTAATAGGTACCTAGGTGTTTAATGTTTATTGTAGTAATATAGTGTACTATTAAGCAGTATTTATAAATATTGTACAATATTTAATGACAGTGAATCACTAAAATGAAAAAAAAAAAAAAATTAAAATTGCTTTGTACGTATCAGGATAAATACAGAAACATAAAAAAATATTTTAAGTTAACAATATTGTTTTCCATATAATATTAATTTGATAATTTTCATTATTTTATAAGTAATTACGACTTTACGGGTTCCAAGAGTGAAGTAATAACTATTCAGCGTATGAGTTACGTGTGTATACTAAAATCAAATACCTACTATATCTGGAACTTCCATAGAAAAATAAGAAATTAAATTTAAAAATACCAAAAATATTTTCCCGATATGAAAATACAAATAAAATGACATATCAAGAAATAATAATTACTTATTAATAATACACAAATTATGATTATGAATACAAAATCTATATGTATAAAAGAAAGTCAGGTTATTTACAGAATGTATAATTCATAAACGGCTGGATCAATTTCGATGATCTCTGATTTGTTGGATTCATCTCCGTACAAGAATAAAAATAACTCTAATCATAGCAAGAATACAGACAATTATCTAGATAATTAAAAATTTTATCTTAGATAAGTAATTAGATAACTTAGCGTTATTTATCTAGACAAAAAATCTATCTAGATAAATTTAATTAAATAAGTCCCAACACTGTCCACACTTTCAATTTCGGACTTAGTGTAGGGGTTCACTAAAAATAGGGGCTGATATATGTACATAATACATAGATGCTTATAAATAGTCATAAAAAATAGCTAATGAACATTGAAATGCTGTCACGGAGGGTTTCTTCTTAAAAATGTAGCTCAATATAAATGGTAGGTGGTAATTTGTAGTTTTATTATTTAGATACCTGTCTATTTATTTTTTTATAATTGTATATATTTGTTATTATATTTAGTAAATCCTCACTAGATTTTTTTACTTATTTTAATTTTAATACATGTACAGACTGTTACATTTTTGGATTAAAAAAAAAAATAATTATTCACATCTTTATAAAATAAATATATAAAAAAAATATTAATTATTTTTATTTGTATAATATGCTATTTTAACTAAATTAAGCAATAAATCTTATTTATGAATCAAATTGAACAATTAAGGTAGGCATTTAAATAATTAAATATTAAGTGTCATTGTTACTGAATGTAATTTTTGGCAGCCTGAACACAATAAACAAATACAAAATGCGCAGTAATATATTTTTTTTTTTTTGATATTCATGAAAACGATTAACTATAAAAAAAATGTATAATCATGTATTTAAAATAATTTCTTAATTTTGAAATGCACATTAAACTATACATAAAATAAAACAAATTTTACATGCGGATTATATTTACATTTAAGCACATTAAAATTAAATATTTACCGTTTAATTATTATAATATACCTTCAGTTGAAAAAATTATTATACAGTTTATTAGAATAGAATAAAAAATATATAAGCATCAAAATATTTTGGTATTTCCTTAATTTGAATTAATTTGCTTGCATTAAAAATTATTCTTATTGTAAAAATTAACAATATAATCACCTGTTTTATTTTTAATCCAATTAAATCTTAATTGAATTAAATTAAAAATGTAAACTGCATAGGAAATAATAAAAATATTATAAAACACAGTTATATAAACTATAAAATTGACATTCAAAAATTAGAGGACAATTAGTAATCATGTCATTAATGTTTATTATTTTCTACCACAGAATTGGGAGGTAATAATTTAACAGTACTAATATAGATAATTAAAAATAACATTAACACATAATTATCACCTATAGTTTAAAATTATTAAAAGTGTATAGTTTCTTTTAAATTTTTGTTGAATTGTAGAATTAAAATGTATTAAACTGGGTTTAAATTATTTTTACTGAATAATGCTGAATGTATGAATATGTGATTTAATAATTAATGTATAATAACAATTATAATTAGTAGTTGAAATTATTAGATTATTGCGTACCCTCATTGTTTAATAATAAATATTTCTTAAGTATTTTACTAACATTAAAATTTAGATGAGATTATTTAATATCTAATTACACAGCCAATCTAATATATATAAGCAATATTAAAGAAAAAAATTATAAATTCAATTTTTATAGCTATTTTATGCGTTTCTACTTTTATAAAAAATAATAGGTAATCCATTTTCTTAATTATACTTTTTTTTTATGATAAATCATACTGATATATTACAAAATATTTTTAAAAAACATTGCTTATCATAATTGATTATTATAAATAATGGAGATACCATTATAGTTAATATACAATAATATAAGATAAAAACCTGCAAAAAAAAGTGAACTTATGATCAAAATATAGAGCTAATTATTTGAACATTATTAAAACTTGCAAATAACTCAAAGTTAAAATGAGGTAATCTTAATGAAAATTAAATAGAGGTATGAATTTATACAACAATGACACAAGTGGAGGAGGAAAAACATGCTGATATTTAATTTCCTATCTTAACTATAGATAATTTGAAAAACTGTGAGGTCATTCTCTGCAGCAGTTCCTCAATTGATTATGCATATAATAATTTATGTATTTCATTATTACATTTATCTACTATACAATATGAGTCATGATTAATCTTTGTTCATTATGTGATTTATTATTTGAATTAAAAAATATTTATATTTATAATAAACATTGATAACACCTAAGGTACTTGACTTTAATGACTATATTAAAAGTGATTATGATGAAATTATTACTAGCCTACAACTTTACAACTGTCAAAAGTATGAAAGTCATTAAATGTACCTAACTGGGAAAATTGTATGTATTATGAGTATCATTTTATATATTATAAGTTATAAGTTATATTATATTAATGAAAGAAAATTGAAATGGTAAATACTGGATACAGAAATTATAATTTGACAAAAATGAAAAATAAATCAATTTCATATTCATTTAAGAAATATAAATAACGATAAAAAAATAGAGATAAAAATAATTTGTTTAAGGTTAAACTAAATAAAGGTGTGCAATTTTACTATATTTAATTAAGATAAAATGTTATGAGTATGAAATAAAAAAACAAACCAATAACAGAACATACTCTGAAATATGAAATGAAATTACTCAAAAGAATTAAAGCTTAAATACAATAACATGAATGGATCATTTTTGAGGTAAGCATCAATACAATAATAAAAATATAAATAGCATAGATGTAGTTTAACAGAGCTGCCCGATTTAGCACCGTTCATAATGAATAGGTATTTCAACATCTGACTATAAACATCTTAGGATGAAAACCTAGAAGTGCGTAATTTTGATTGAGCAACAGATTTGATAGTAAAAATACCCAATCGGGATGGTCACAACACATAAACACGCAAAATATTTTGATATTGAAACATTTTTTGGCACGAAGCAGTCGGAACGCCAACACATGTATACCTATTTCTCTGCATTTACGCGTGAAACAAATAACCTAACGTTCGGTTAGTTAGATAAATGGGACAAAAGGACTTTTGCAGTTCTGACCATCCACTCGTCCAATACGTTCTGACCAACGAGACACAACACGTACCTGGCGGATAGTCCTTCTTGAACAACGCTGTGGAGTTTTTCTCTTAAAGTGCCAAACATTTCAAATCTTCTTTTCGGCATGAGCAGCGGTGACGGTATAGTTCGACAATATTATCAATATTAACGTTTACTGTCTCCGGAGCATAATAGGAATTTAATGGCGGGAAACGTTTAGAAGAGCGAGGCGGAGGAAAAGAAAAACATGTAAACCGACGGGAAAATAAAACATCTATTGTCTTTTTGAAAAAAAATTCACATTTTCTTTTTATCATCCGAACGACTGTCGGAAATGATAACCGCATGACATCGTAACTGATAACGGAGATAAGAGCCGACATTTTTCAAACATTAAAAAAATACAAACGTTCCTTGCAGATTGTCTGCCGCCGATCGAAGTTATCGTCGCAACGTCGTACCGTGCACTACCCGAAGTCAATCGTGGAGAGCAGGATCGCAATCGAATTTTTTATTTTAAATATTTCGATCTCGCTAGCTTACACGTCTAAAGGTGAATTTTACGAATTACTCCTTAATCGTTCGCCGTCACTAGTTACATCATCAGTTAATTAGGAAGACCCTGTGGCCCTTACTGATTCGCCCGAATTTTTCTTTTTCTGCACTCTACCACTATGCTTATCCACTTTTCTGCTGTTAATCTCACTTATATTTACTGACTCCATCTTTTACCTTGCAGTTATGCACCAGTGGTGAACAATATGGAAACTAATGGCTTACACATAGAGGAACCGACATTGATCGCAGACGATGTATTAGACGAGAGCAATGCGATGACCACGGTCCAAACTAATGGCACTGCGACAACATTCGATCCATTGAAACCCGAAAGAGTCCGATGGTTCTATAAGAGTGATCCCAAGAAATGGACCAAGTTTGATGGGTTTGATTCTTTGAACATAGAGTATAGGTATCGGGCGAATTTCGGCAATGAAGAAGAAGCATCTTCTTTGAACGGGTCGTTTAATTATTATTTTCAAAACTTTACCGTTGTCGTTAGGGGAGGTCTCTACGAAGTAGACCTATTAAAAAAAAAGTGTACTTCTATATTTTGGCCTGGTATGTGAATTTTTTGTCTTAAAGATTACTTACCCAGTTTCTTAATATAATTTTTCGGTTTAAATAGGTGAAGATAGTGACATCTTCCGTGGTGTATGGTTTTATGATGGATATGAACCCTATGAATATGGTGAAGAAGTTGAAAGAGAACACCTAAATCTCTTTAGAGATGATACCAGAAAAATTGAAAGTACTGAAGACAATGGAAAGTCAGGTTAGGTACCTTCCAATGTCTTAACCTTTGATGAAACAATATTAATTTATTTATTTTACTGAATAAAAATGATGATTGTAATTTACCACTTCATTAAATTTAAAATTGGTTTTTTTAGTTATAAGAGATGTAACTTATGGAGACATGCATGTAGTATGGTATTCACCTACTGAGGTGTATTCTTTTAAACCAAAATCTTTTATCAACACAAAGATTATGAGAAGTGTTACAAAAAAATTAGGAACTTATTTTCAAAAATGTAAGTATTTCAAAATTATTTTATTAGATTTAAATTATAAATTATTGTACAATATTGACAATAGTTTTTTTTGCTCTGATTTAGTATGTTCATTGATTTCATAAAAGTAATTTGTATTTAATTATTTTTTTATTAAATCAAAATCATTTGATTATTTTAGCCGCAGGATATAAACTTATTAGATCTTATAAAACAGAAGCTGATGAAAAAGATAAATTGAACGATATTACGCATTTAGTATTTTTGGTTCATGGCATTGGACATAAAATCGATAACAAAAAAATAATAAGAAACACTTCTCAGTAAGTATGATTGACAATATTGTGCCATAGTCTATTCAGTTTAAGTTAATCACTTATCAGACGAAAACTGGTCTCCGCTGCGCACATAGTACATGTAGTGTAGGGTGACCAGACATCCTGTTTAAAACAGCATTATTCCTTTTTTGATCATCAAGTCTCGTTGTCCCGATCAACTTCGAGTAGGGCGCTTTTTATCCTGTTTTTAAAATATTGTCCCGTTTTAATCCCGTTATTTCCATATTATTTGTTATTATTTATTTTATAATGTATTAATACTTGTAAATAAAATATTTAAATATATTTAATTATTGAAAACCTTGATAAAAAAAAAAATATACGGCAAAAATAATTTTATGGAAAAGGTTGATGATTTTCATAGTGTATTCTTATCTTATGTAGAAAAATGGAGTTGTCATTTTGAACCATTCAAAAATTTTCGTTGAACTCAATTATTAGATATTCCTGCTTGGGTAGACGTTCAAGAAAGTATTTAATATCTATTTAAAAATAAAAAACTTAACCAGGGTTGTTATGTGGATAAGGACAAGTTATTTGATGAATATAATCATGTAGTTCATGTGATATAAGTTAAAATTGTAGAATGGAAAAAATTTTCAAAAAATATCACTGAAAAATAGTGTGATCTATTTAAAACACTAGAAAAAAATTATATTTCTTTCAACAACTTCTCAACAATTATTGAATACTTATTGGTTATTCCTGAAAAAAAATGAATCTGTAGAAAGAATTTTTTCAATAACAAATATATTGTAGACTGATGAAAAAAAATCGTTATAATGTCGAAACCTAACCTAACCTTAGATCAATAATAATTACAAAACAACACTTTAAAAACTTAACTTGTTCACAATTTTATGAATTTCTTTTGAAATACCTACCCAAAATTGTTAAATTCAATACATTCTTCCGAAAAGTACGAGAAAGCCGTAGAAAGTGTAGAAGAAGGCTTACAAAATTCATAAATAATTGAGATAGCTGATAGTGTATAATTTTCCTAATTCTTGTTAAAAAAAATGTAAGAGTAACTATATGTAACCAGTGACGCACATCTCATGGGTCAAGGGGTCGGTCGACCCCCCGAAAAAAATTGGGCGATTAAAAATATTTGCAATTTTTTAGATTTTATTTCAATTTTTAACATGTGAAATTCGATTGGACCTAGGCTCATGCCCAGGACCGGCGCTAAAAGTATTGGTACCTTGGGCGAAACCATGTTTTGGCGCCTTTGAAACCTCCCCCTCCTTAACCCTCTTAGTTTGAGTAGTAGTAAAATAAAGTTTTTAGTGAATTTAAATAAAATTAGTATATATTTAGTATAATAACTTAGTATTATATCAACGCATTTTTTGGATAGGTTTTTCTTTTTTCATTGCAAGAATATAATAGTTCTAATGTTGAGCTTGGTATTTTTTACTTTTTGAAAGTTTTTTCGGGAATATATTATTTCACCACTGTCTACAATATAGGAATACTGTATTTCATTAACAACTCATTTATTAAGACAACGAGAGAACGGAATTCATTGTAAATAACTAATAAGGAACCAAAATATTATGTAGAAATTAACTAAATAAAAAATATGAATATTGATTACCTGTTAACTGTAACTTGTTAGTTTAAACATTTGACATTACATAGCAGATCGTACGTAACGAGAGCTCGTCGAAAACAAATCGTGCGAGTGTGTCGGGCAACTGTGTCTTTTCGATTAACGCCTTTAGTTATATGAATTAATTTGTAAACGAGTAAATGTTTTATGAAAATAAATATTACGACCATCTATTTATTTACACAGACAAATGCGGTGGTATGTTTTCATGCATTTTTACATCAAAACCAGCGCTGTATGGATGCAGTACCTATATGAAGTAGAAAGCACAACTGTTATATTTTTATTTCCTGTAGATCGTTAATGCGTATTAAACGATAAATTAGATGAAAACAATTTTCAGTTTGGCACTCCCGGTCACCCATAGCTTTCGCCAGCCCTGCTCATGCCTTAAGTGCTTAGTTCCACTACCTCAAGCTCCAAAATTACCTTCATTGGAGTTGCTTTGATAATGTTTATGGGTAATGGGTGGGTGGTCGGTATTTATATATGTTCGACCCATGTTGGTAAGAATTAGTGTGCACCAATGTATGTAACAATACATTGTTTAATATTTTAATTGTAATATTAAAAATTAAATTTATCTAATTGTTTAAAAAATTATAATCGTTTTGAAATGCTACATTGTGTTTTTTGATGAATAATTAAAAGAAAATATTTTATTATTTAGGTTATTTTACTAAAAAAGAATAGAGTAAAAAGAAAATAATTGTTTATGATATGACAGAGATTTGGATAACTCTCGAGATATGTCTGAATGTATATGGATGAGGGATTTTTTTTTAGGGAGGGGAAGTTATAGTTATCCCGTTTTTTTATTTTTTAATATGGTCATCCTAATGTAGTGAGATATATTAACACATTGTTTTCTCAACACGACTCTTGTACATATGCAAACACCATAAATCTGTATTTTTTATGTTATTAATATTGTTGATTTTGATGAATTTGTTGGTAAATAATATAATTTAAAATGAATAGTAACCTAACTTCAATATATGTATTAAGTTTAAAATTATATATTCTTTGTAACACTCTGTGAGTGACAACGATCAATCACAGAGGGCTGTGTCGTCTCGGCGACTCATTTGCATTCGCGTAAGAGGATCAACTTAAACTGAATAGACCATTTATTGATAATACTCCTTATTTATTAAATTATTTGACATAGATTTTATTTTTTATCTTAATAATTTTAGATTTCGTGATTGTGTGAAATGGATTAAACAAAAATATTTTCAAGGTACAGAACAGAGAGCAGAGTTTTTTCCCGTAGATTGGAGATCACGATGTAGTTTTGATGGGGGTAATTATACTGTTCATAATACATTTAAAATTACATAATATAAGTATAATAATAATTAATTTTTATTCTAGGGTTGGTTGAACAGATTACTCCATTAAATTTGAAAAACATACGGCAGATATTAAATTCGTCAGCTATGGACATAATGTACTATACTTCTCCTATATATGGTCGAGAAATACAGAATAGTTTAGCAAATGAACTAAATAGATTACATTCAGAATTTGTGCAACATCACCCTCATCATCACTTTAAAGTATCCATAATGGCACATTCCCTGGGTAGTGTCATTTCATATGATATTATAACTGGATGGGAACCGTTTGTAAGTAATATTTAATGATTTTCTGTTCTTAATAGTTGATAGTTTTATATATATATATATATATATATAACTTCATATAGTATTATAAATATTTAATAGTTTTTTTTTTTTTTTAATAAAATATCGTTTATTGAATATTTACAATCTATACTATTATATGTACAATGAGTAAATTTGATGGAGGAATGACAGTGATGAGATGGTGAAAAAGGAAGCTTACAGTAGAGCTACCTTTACATGAATCTTAAATTAATTTTGGGTGTTGAGAAGATCTTTGGATCATTTCCGATTAAGGCGTCGGGTAGGGTTACCTGGAAGTGTATTAGAGTGAAGTTGAGATATAAGTTGGTTTGGGTGGATTTGGATTTTGAAGTGGAGTCTTGAATAGAAATTGGCTGTAGTCTGGTCGATGGATGGGACATTGAAGTCTTCGTGTAGAGCGGCGTTTGTAACGTACCATGGGGCTTTAGTGACTATGCGGAGGCAGATGGATTGGAACGCTTGAATTGTCCTGAGATTTGAGGGTTTGGCAGTGCCCCAGAGAGCTATACCGTAAGACCATATTGGTTGTAGGAGACTTTTGTATAAAAGTAGACAATTGGATAAGTTCATATTGGATTTGAGGAGAGGTCGTAGGTGGGAGTTAAGT